CTATCTTAATTTTCACAAATGTTGCTACATAATATTAGTCATTTTCAGGCTTGACACGCAGGTTGTGGTTGTATATCATTGAAACAAGGTAATTTAACAAATGTCCCATATTTAAAATATATAATACACTGTAGTATGTCATATATTCATTGAGCTATTATTATTATTATTCTTTGTATATTTTCTTTGTTTATGTTTGCACCACCATACTCAAAAGCTAATTCCTTGTTTTATGTAAACGTGTAAAACACTTGATTCTGATTCTGATAAGTATTGTGGTGGTGTGTTCAATGTCAGGGTACCCAAGTGAAAGATGTCATCATTAAGCCTGACGCCCCCAGCTCTCTGCTGCTGGACAAACATGCAGACTACATCGCTGCCTACGGCTCCAAAAAGGATGACTATGTGAGTAAAAGGCACTTTCGTAGGATTAATTGATGTTTTTTCAGTGTGTATCTTTTAGTTCCCAGGGTAATATGTTCCCAAAGTGTATTTTATCTTTATATGACACATGAAGGACACTTTTTAAAGGAATTCATGTTTTAAGCAAGGCTTTTTTGGCCATTGTTATATGTTCAAGGTATGTTTTTCATGGTCAATAAGTTGAAATCACCCACCTTCAGCTAAAACCAATCTACTCTTTGAAACATACACCGTGAAATGTGCAGATATACCACAGCATGTCAACAATTCTTCTTGTCATATTCACCAATTTGTCTACATAATATGACTCCGCATCGGTTTCGACCCACCATTTTTTTCCCTTTGAGCGTTTATATTTCCAAAGTGGCCGAACATATTTTGACTGTAATAACTGCATTCGAAACTCTCACTTCAACTTCCTTGCTTGATCTGTGAATGGCCTTACCAACCTCTTCCAACATTGTTAAGTAAAGTGAATAATGCTAAGGCTAGTCTTGGAACCAAGGAACATTAATTCTTGAAAACATTTTTTTTTAAATCTCCTAAGATTGTTTTTACCACAGACCAGGGATTTAACCAAAAACCCATAAAAAATCCCATAGATTTTGAGATGAGGGACCCATAAGTGCAATAAAGCTGACTCATTCCTGCTGCACTGTTTATCTTTCCTGTTTGTTTGTGTTTGTCCAGGAGTACACACTGTCAGAGTACCTGCGGATGAGCGGCATCTACTGGGGGCTGACGGTGATGGACCTGATGGCGCAGCTGCCCCGGATGAACCGGCCGGAGATCGTAGACTTCATCAAATCCTGTCAGCACGAGTGTGGGGGCCTCAGCGCCAGCATCGGACACGACCCCCACCTGCTCTACACCCTCAGCGCCGTGCAGGTGACTCCTCAGACAGCCAACAGGAAATGTGACAGATTGCTAGCTTGTTTTTCTCATCAACTTCTGTGGAGGAGAGAAGTTGGAAATGTCGCCAACAAACGAAAAAAATAGTATACTTTGCTTTGATTCAAAGTTGATGCAAGCAGACATTTTAAGTATGTTGTAATGGATTTTGATCCTGGAGGACACACGGAACTATATAATAATTTAGTTTCTTATAGATTTTATTTATCTTACTCTTTCTCTAGCAGCCTCACTATCTGTGTGTTTAAAGCATTTTTCCTTCTGAAGGATCCTTTTGATTAAAATGTTATGAGTATTTACCTCCCAGCAAAACGGTTCAATGTGTGTGTGGGCTACAGGTACAAGAGCCCTGCCTGCAGCCCACATCCTTTCAGTCTATTTACTGTTCTACTCCTTTCTTCAGATCCTGTGCTTGTACGACAGTGTGGATGCTCTCGATGTGGACAAAGTGGTGGAGTACATCAAAGGGCTGCAGCAGGAAGACGGATCATTTGCAGGAGACAAATGGGGTGAGCCAGACTTACTCTGATTAACGTCTCAAGAAACGTTTGCTCCTCCAATGAAAAATAAGAAATAAAAGCAGACAATAATTTGAGTAAAGGGGATCAAATAAGAGGCATTTCATCAAATAACTTGTATAACAACAAAAATGTACAAATTAGAGCTTTAACAATTAGTCTAACAACAGATTAATGAACAAACACCCACTATTTAAAAATAATAATACAAGTTTAAGTTTAAGTCGTTTCTTCATGCAAGAATTCCAGAAAATGCAGTTTTTAGCTGCTTTATTATGATATTTCCTGTTTTATACAGTGGTGAACCGTCAGGGCCTTCAAGGTATTCAGAGAATACCCTGGAACACTCAGATTAAACAAACAAAACATCGATTTATATTTTCGTATCTCTGTCGTTGATCTGAAATATTAAAGTGTTATGTTGATTTGTTTGTCCTTCTCGGACCATGCACTACGCATTTCAGTGGTTTTGTGTTAGAAAAGAAAGCAACCAATCAGATCTTGTTCTGGGTCTCTGGGTAGAATATCCTTCAACAAGTTATTCTACATCCTTGATAGAATGCCCTGGCCGTTGCACTGAATGAGAGCGTACGTTTGGACTGACAGTTTGATCAACCAATCAGATATTGATTTGTAGCCAATGGGCGTATTCTTTCAGAGTTTCCCTCGGTTCCAGGGTATTCTAGAAGGCCCGCTAGTTAACTGGCTCGAGACAGAGGATCTAGAGATGAATGCGACGAAGCAATTCATGCCGTTTTATTGTTTTTAACGTTGAAATGGCAAGTGCAACAGGTGAAGACGGAGTTGTTGCAGAATTATTGTGAGTACCCTTTTCAAGACGACAATTCAGTGAAAAGACGGACATTATAACAGCAGGGCGGGGGTGGGGGGGGTGTGTGTCTACAGAAGGTCCAGTTGTGATAGACACGGTTCGCCACTATATAATATTGAACTGAATATCATTTGGACTTGGTCTGACAAGAAAGACATTTGCAATTGTCCCCTTGAACAAACTAGGATGCATTTCTTTTTGTATTTTCGGACATTTCTTAGACCAATTGATCATTGATAATAAAAATAATGGCTAGTTTCAGCCCCGGTATAATTCAAACGTGTGTTGTCATGGTGTGCTTGCAGCGTAAATTCCACTTAAACACATAATAATAATAAATATAATATGAAATACCATGTTTGCGTTACAGGAGAAATAGACACCAGATTTTCCTTCTGTGCTGTTGCAACACTTGCTTTACTGGTACGTATATCATGTACAGTTTCTGTCTTGTCTCAACAGTGTAACTCTTTCTAATCTGAAGATGACTCTCTGTCCTCTCTTCCTTCTAAGGGCAAGATGGACAAAATAAATGTTGACAAAGCTGTGGAGTTCATCCTGTCCTGTATGAACTTTGACGGGGGTTTTGGCTGCAGACCGGGTTCAGAGTCTCACGCTGGTCAGGTGAGTCCACTCACGTTCACCTTTAATGCAAGGCAATCGCTGTGGGAGTTTCACTTTCATCTCTTTTAGAACAAAAGCAGCACATCCAGGGTTTAAACCTGAAGAAGGTTCTAACTGCAGAAATGTGTTCAACATTTGATGTCTTTATCTGATGTCGTTTTAGAATTATCTTTGACATCTGTTGTAGGGTTAGGAAAACAGTCACAGGTCAAATCAACAGATTTGCTGGATCATGTAAAAACTAACCATTAGATGTAGGGATGTCCCGATCACCTTTTTTTGCTCCCGATCCGATTCCGATCATTTGATTTTGACAATTTGCCGATACAGATTTTTCCCGATCCGATCTTTATGCAATGCATTAAGGAAAGAAAAAAAAAGCATTCAAGTTGTCCCTTAAGGTTATTTTTTTATTTAAATTTGATATTCTATCCAACATGGATATAGCTTCTTTCTTTCACAGCAGCATTGGATCAGTTCAGTTGTGCAGCATTGGATCAAAACAAAATAAAGCTTTCAGTACTCGTTAGCTTACTGCTACAATTAGACACTGCGCCCTGCCCACTCTGTTGCCAGATTTGAGAGAAATAAGCAACCAGGTCTATGAAAACAAGCCCCAAAGAAGCAACACATACATGATGTTCTGTAATTTGAAACCAAAACTAAGGCCTCAGGATGACTTTAAGACTTGAACATGGTCATTTTTGTTTTGTAACATTGAATACAACATTTAAAAAAAGTATTTAAAAAAAAATAAAAAATCCCGATCCCCGATTTTTTTTCTCCCGATTCCGATCTTTTGAAAATCACGTGATCGGCTCCGATCCCCGATCACGTGATCGGATCGG